AAAAATCTGTTTTTAAGTTTCAGGTTGCTGGTCCTGTTTTCAAGATGCAGTTCCGCTGGGTGCAGGTGGCTCAATGCCTGTAATCCTAGCTATTCAGGAGGCTGAGATCTGAGGATCATGTTCAAAGCCAGCCCGGGCAGGAAAGTCCAAGAGACTCTTTATCTCCAATAAACCACCAGAAAACCGGAAGTGGCACTGTGGCTCAAGCGGTAGCGCGCTGGCCTTGAGCTGAAGAGCTGAGGGAAAGCGCCCAAGCCCAGAGTTCAAGTCCCATGACCGACAAAAAAAAAAAGGAAGAAAGGAAAAAAAAGATGCAGTTCCTGTTTCAGGCATTAACCTACTGAGGCAGTGGTGTTTGTACGAGGAGAGCCCTTAGTATTTTGTTACTTCCTGTGATATAACACTGGAGAAACACAATTGGAATTGCATTCTGCACCTGACCTTTCTCCTTTATGAGTCTTCATATTTGCTGCTATGCTCATACTTTCTGCTTTCTTGTTTTCAACAAAGCTACCATCTTTCCATATCTTCTGATTCCATGTTCTGTTCCTCTGGTACTTTCTCCTTTTTAGTGTTTGCTTCCTATCTGCTTACACATGGTCACAGATTTCTCCTGTTTGGAGAAAGGGGGAAAAAAGCTATTCATTTCACCCTATTTTGGTTCCCACTTAAAAAAAATATATAGCATGCAATGGTTGTATGTAGGTGGTTTTATTATGACATAACCACATGTTTACAATGTGTCCTGGTTAGTCTTACCCCAGTATCACTCTCCCTCATTTCCCTCATCCTTCTTAAAACATTTTAACAGGTTTCCTCATTCTGTTTTCAGAATGGTTAACTGGAACAGAGCCACTGTCATTTAAGTTATCTATAGTTACTCTGAAGTTTTAGGTAGAGTTAAATAATTAGAAACTGGTTGATGAGGCCATTAAATATTATTTTTTTGAACTCAGGCCTGGGTGTGTCTCTGAGCTCTTGCTCAAGGCTAACATTGTACCACTTTGAGCGATAGCTCCATTTTTGAGTGGCTAATTGGAGATGAGAGTCACACAGGGACTTTTCTGCCCAGGCTGGCTTCATACTGTGACCCTCAGATCTCAGTCTCTTGATTACAGCTTCAGATTAGAGGCATGAGACACCAGTGCCCAGCACTAATTCTGGTTGTTCTGGTTTCTTCCCTGGATACTGTTATTTTTACTCTTTGTTGAGATTTGATGAGCATTTATAATCATGTGCATACTATTTCAGGTTGCTTTTCTGTTTCCCTTACTCCTAAAGAATATATATATGTAAATATATATTCTATAGTCTGTCTAGATTGGATACATATATATTATTCTCTATAGATTGCATACATAAAACATTTCAGCTCAAATATTGTAATGATTTTTCATATTAGTATGTCTAGGACACTTGTAAACTTTTAACCCTGGAGTTTAAATGGTAATGGATTTCCCATCTAACAGTTCCCTATTGGTTGTCTCATTTTACTGCAAATGATAGTATTACATTTATATGTGTTTCACATACGAAATGCAACTCCGGAATATTTCTTTCTTGGACTTTGTTTCTGCCATGACTCTTTGCCCACAGTACTCCCACAATTGTATTTGGGGGAGCGGGGAGCAGGATCATTAATAGGGTAGTTACTAGGATAGGCCTTGTTCAAGTGGTTCTCCTTGAGTTCAGTCTGGAGGAGTCCAGATGAACCAGGGGAAGATGAGGTAGGAAGAGAAGGAAGCCCAAAACTATGGACATGAGCTTTGTGTAATGAGCAGATACAAGTTTGACAGCAGTATGGAGACAAGGCATGTTCACATGCTTCATTAAAGTCAGGTGTGATAGTAGCACATGCCACCAGGACTCAGGAGGATCACAAGTTTGAGGCCAGTCTGGACTACATAACGACCATATAGAAGAGAGGGGTAGGGAGAAACCCCCCAAATTTATTAGTTATGTTAGAAAATACTGTGATGAATGTATTGGGTTGATTTTTTTTAACCCAATTTAAACTTACTTTTGCTTCTTAAAACAGTAATTAACTACCAGCAAATGTGAAATTGCCTTACATGGCTGTTTTTGGTGGTTTGCATTTTCTGTTAAAACAGGGCTGCTGTAGCTTACCCAGGAGGGAGTAGTAGGTTTGTTTTTGGAATTAATGTGTGCTTTGGGAAGTATGGGATAGTTTCCAGAATTAAGTGTTGAATTTTATGTTAAGTGATGTGAAGTAATTAGTTTCAGGGAGATTAATAAGTTGGTCTTATGTGGTGCTATAAGAACATACGTGCTAGGATGTCCTAAGGACTTTATTCATTCAACCCTCAAAACAGTCATGTGAGGCGTGGTACTTTACAGATGAACTTTGAGTCACACAGAACATTTTCTTACCTTACAGGCCCAAGGTCATACAGTCATTGGTAATGCTTTGATATGAACCCAGACAATTTTAATTCAAGACCCTGTGAAATTAATTCCTACCTCACTAGGGAGGGGATTAGACAAGGAAATGCCCCGTGCCCAGTGACCCTGTTAATTGGATTTTAAAAACATCTGCCTTAATACTTGTTACTCAAAATGCAGAGATCTGAGAATCTAGGTTTGGAGCTGGCGCAGGTGGGAAAGTCCTCAAGACTCTACCTCCAATTAATCAGCAACAGACCTGAACTAAAGGTGGCTCAAGAATTACCTGTTTAATTAAGAAAAAAAATTTTTTTTTTGGTTGGTCATGGGGCTTGAACGTAAGAAATTTTTTTTTTTTTTTGGGTCTGGTCGTGGGGCCTGAACTCTGGCCCTGGGCGCTGTCCCTCAGCTCTTCAGCTCAAGGCTAGCTCTCTACCACTTGACCCACAGCGCCACTTCCGGCTTTTTTCTTTTTGCTTATGTGGTGCTGAGGAATCGAACCCAGGGCCTCAGGCATGTAAGGCAAGTGTTCTACCACTGAGCCACCTTCCCAGCCCAAACTTAAGAAATTCTAAGCTTGATTCATGCCTGTAATCCTAGCTACTCAGAAGGCTGAGATCCAAGGATCAAAGTTCAAAGCCATTTGGGGCAGAAAGTTCATGTTATTAACCATCAGAAAACCAGAAGTGATGCTGTGGCTCAAAGTGCTAAAGTGCTAGCAATGACTGAAAATGGCCAGGACAGCACTGAGTTCAAGCCACTGTTATTTACTTAAAAGTCTAATGCTTAAATGTTTTTGTTCTATACTTTGGTTATTTTAAAGTCCAATAATATGTGTAACAGGTTTTTATATTGTATAAAGCATGTTCTCAGGATTTTATTTTTTGTCTCTTAGCTTTCCAAAGATGGACAAAGTTAAAAATTAAAGAGAAAGGGGTGACATTGATCAACATGCATTGTATCTACAAACTCACAGGTTGAAACCTCTATACAACTACTTACAGACAAAAGCAAACTGAAGGATAATTTGTTAGGCTTGGAAGAGACCTTTGAAAGTGATTTGCATGCCTGAGGCCCTGGGTTCGATTCCTCAGCACCACATAAGCAAAAAGAAAAAAGCCGAAGTGGCGCTGTGGCTCAAGTGGTAGAGCACTACCTTGAGCTGAAGAGCTGAGGGACAGCGCCCAGGCCCAGAGTTCAGGCCTCACAACCAGACCCCGCTCCCCCCTCAAAATGAAAGTGATTGATCTTGCCTAGGGTTTTTTCTTGGTTAATATGATAATTCTTGGTGTCTGGGACTGTCCCATGCATGGGAGGGTGCTTAGCATCTTGGCCTCTACCCATTAGATGTCAGTAGTTCCCCTTCAGTTGTAGTAATGAAAATGTCACCCAATGTCACCATGTAGCACCTTTGAGACATAGTCACCCTTTGAAGAAAGTCACCCTATTCAAGAATAGTGTGCTGTCTAGTTCCATTAAGTGCTGGTTTCTTTTTTTGGAACTAAGTTGTTGAGCAGTGAGCTAACCACCTTCTCTTACAGCTCATTCGAGCTTCAGGGGACTTGAGATAGAAATCTTTTTTTTTCCATATTAAGTAAGCTAAAGCCTGTCAACACCTTTTTAACTCTCTCAGGACCCAGTGGATAGAGTGAGATACATACTTTCTGTTTACTGGAACACAGTAGTTCTCTCCCTTCTTCTGACTGGTCTCTCATGGTTGCCTTAGAACTCAAGCTAGCAAACATTTTTAGTAATGAGCCCAGACAATAACTAGATTTTGTAGACATGCAGCATACGTAGGATCTTCCTTGTATAATCTTCCTCACCTGATTTCCTCCCTCTGTTTTTATAATCTGCAAAAATGTAAACAACATTCTCAGCTCAAGACAGCCTGGGTTTGGCCTCATGGATGGTTTGCTGAACCTGGGCTTTAGAATTGTTTTCTGTGGCAGGGGATCTGCAGTGTCTTCTTACAGTCTGGGGCCCTGAGCTGTCTGGAACTTAGGAGAAGGCTGAGCGGCAAGCACCACACTGCTTACTGACGTCGAGAGTTGTGTCACATGTCTATCTTGGACTCAGCTTTGTCTTTTTTTATTAGTCCACATTACTTTCTAGGGTATTTTTAGACTTCATTTTAGGGCCATCTATATATCTAGCTGTTTTAAACTTCCTCTTCGCTACAGGCAACTCTTGTTCTAGCCTTTGAGAGCTTTCTGGATCTTACTTTGTCCTTTACAATGTCAGTGAAATGTCTCTCACATTGTATGTTTGATAAACATAGCTGGATCTTCCACACAGAACACTAGGAAAAGGTTGAGAGATAAGGACTAAATCTTAGATGAGACATTTAAAAAATAAGAGGATTTTAGTGTATGAGCATAGCTAATTTATATTCTAAATTGTTTTGAAGAATTCTGTGTAAATCTGAATTTTAGCACATATTTTCAAAGGTGACTATCATTACTCATGGTTTTTAAAATAAGATAGAAAATATACGTAAAGGCTGCAATGAATAAAAACTGAGTCATTCACATGTAGAATACAGTAATTTTAAATAATCATTTTTTTCAGAAAGTAAATTTATTTTTAAATTTCAGAAAGGATTTACACCAGCAGCCCCGGTTCATACAAATAAAGAAGATCCAGCAGCCCAAACCAATCTGGGCTTTATCCACGCATTTGTCGCTGCCATATCAGTAATCATCGTGTCCGAGCTGGGTGACAAGACATTCTTCATAGCTGCCATCATGGCCATGCGCTATAACCGCTTGACTGTTATGGCTGGAGCCATGCTTGCCTTGGCGCTGATGACCTGCTTATCAGGTGAGTGTGCTTTGCCTCTGGTGATTTTGCTCAATTACCAGATAAAGCCTGGTGTGGAACATTTGAGTTATTGAATCATTTGACTAGTTACCATGGGATTTGATTTATGTTCCAGAATCTATTAAACAGCTAATGGAACATAAATTCTTGAAGCGGTCTTTTACCTTTTTTCGGGGGGTTGTGAGGCATGAACTTGGGACCTAACGTGCTCTCCCTATAATCGCAGCTACTCAGGAGGCCAAGCCCAGGCAGGAAAGTCCGTGAGACTATCTCCAATTAACTGTCAGAAAGCTGGAAATGTCACTCAAAGTGGTAGAGCACTAGTCTTGAGCTGAAGAGCTAAAGGACAGCACCCAGGCTCTGAGTTCAAGCCCCATGACTGACTAAAAAAAAAAAAGCAAAACATAACTTTCTTTTCAGAAGTAAACGTTAGAGAAGTAGGAGGGAACTTTACACAGTGGTTATCACATATTTGGAATGAGTTTGCAGTGTGTCAGAGAAAGTATTGCTGAAACTTCTGGCTTGAGAAGACATGGAAAACCATTGTGTTTATATGCCTCTTCTCTGCTCTGAAGCCTGGCTGGCTCCTCAGTTCTCCATACCTTCTCTCCCTCTAGCTGTGGGGCTCTGAGAGCTATCACTTGGAGGGTTTTCTTATTTTTTTGTGCCAGTGCTGGGGCTTGAATTCAGGTTCTATACGCTGTCCCTGAGTTACTTTGCTCAAGGCTATTGCTCTACCATTTGAACTACAGCTCTACTTCCATCTTTTTGGTGGTTTATTGGAGATAATAGTCTTAATAGATTTTTCTGCTAGGGATGACTTCAAAACATGATCTTCAGATCTTAGCTTCCTGAGAAGCAGTAATTATAGGTGTGAGCCAGTGGTGCCTGGCTTTAAAACCTTTCTTTTTTTTTTTTCCTTTTCTTTTTCTTTTTTGTCAGACATAGTGCTTGAAATCAGGGCTTGGGCACTATCCCTGAGCTCTTTTGCCCAAGGCTAGTGCTCTACCACTTTGAGCTACAGCTCTACTTCTGGTTTTCTGGTGGTTAATTGGAGATGAGTCTTATAAACTTCCCTGCCCTGGCTGGCTTAGAACTCTGATCTTTAGATCTCAGCCTCAAGTAGCTAGAATTACAGATGTGTGCCACCGTTTTACCCGGCTTGGTAGCTTTTAAAATTACAGCCAACTTAATCACTAACACATTAACTTTCCTAAGCTCCATATTTCACAGACTTCTTGAGATCTACTTATACCCTTCACAACCAATTCTGGGCAGAGTATTTTTGTCCTACTGTTTTACCAGTCAGGAACAATCCTTTAAGATAAAGTATACTTTATAAAATACTGTTTTTTTTTGGGGGGGGTGTTCGGTCATGGGGCCTGAACTCTGGGCCTGGGCACTGTCCCTCAGCTCTTCAGCTCAAGGCTAGCGCTCTACCACTTGAGCCACAGCGCCACTTCCAGCTTTTTTTTTCTTTTTGCTTATGTGGTGCTGAGGAATCGAACCCAGGGCCTCATGCATGCAAGACAAGCGCTCTACCACTGAGCCACCTTCCCAGCCCCAAAATACTTTTTCACTCTAAACCATTTCTTTTTTTCTCTAACTTCCTTCTTCAGAAACTTTCTTCCTGTATCTTTGTTACTTGCTGATTGCTGTCTCTTTCTAGAGTGCCTTTTAGTGTGATAGGAAAGTTAGGAAAGGAATATACTTTCAATAGACAGAAAACAGGTCATCTCTAGATGAAGAATAGCAATGATTTTTACCACCACACAGTTTTAAGTATGTTAAGTCCTTCTCCAGAACCCTCTGGGTTGACTCACTGTCCCAACAGGGAGTAACTTCATTATATTTGACTTCTGGGGCATGGTTCACTGGCCTAGCTAAGTAAGTTAAAAATCCATTGTTTCACATCTATTTGTTGACCCACCTTAGGTTGGTATGAAGTCTCCCATTAATCCTTAGGTGGACATAGTACTCAAGAAATGCATTTTGTACATTCCATAATCTTAGTGCCATCTAGCTTGGTTGTAAAGTTTAATTACACATTTTCTCTAGGAGACCTTCCCATCTTCCATTTTAAGATCCCTTTGCTCATAGATAGCTGCTACCTAGTAGTATTCCCCACTCAGGCACTCAAGTTTCTAAAATATTCTAGGCAATCTACAATGTTCTAATGGCTAGTAAGTTGAAGTCAGTCTTTGGCTACTACTTCCTGGAATATAGGCCTAGGTCTGAAGTCCTTACCTTTGTTAACCGTAGATACAGAGAGCTTGAGAGGTGTATAGAGCAACAGAGTTCTTTTCCTTCCACAGATGATCATAATTAGGTAACAGTACTAAAACACTATTGGTTTTTTATGTTCAAAACCACGTGAATCTAGAGGATTTTGCAGGTAGAAGACTCCCTGTGTAGTCATGTGTTACATTGGTCTGGACTCAACTATACTGGCTAAATTGTCTGGAACATGTGTGGTAGTTTATCAAGGATATCCTGTTTTGAAGTATATGCCTTTAATCATTTTTACCTTTGAGTTAACTCTTAAGATGTGTCAGCTTTATTTAGTTTTATAGTCTGGAAACAAACTTGGCTAAAACATTAACTGTAAAGGCCAGCGAAGAGGAGGAACACCTGGCTTCTCTTGGAGCTATCAAACAGTGGTTGAAAGGAAGGCTAGGATACAAGTTCCTGTCCAGGTAGAAGGTGGACAGGCATGGTATCAGGTACATCAAGTAATCATGCTTATGAACTTTTTTCCCCCTCGACTTCTCAGCTTTACTGAGTGTGTGTGTGTGGTAGTACTGGGATTTGAACTCTGGCTTGGGCTCTGTCCCTGAGCTCTTTTTGCTCAAGGCTAGCACTCTACCACTTGAGCCATAGCTCCACTTTCAGCATATTTTGGTTCCTTAGATTTCTGATGTTAGCCTCCTGAGAGTAGCCAGGATTACAGGCGTGAGCCACTGGCACCTGGTGGCTTTAGTTACTTTTTTTTTTTTGGTCAGTGGTGGACCTGAACTCTGGGCCTAGGCACTGTCACTCAGCTCTTAAACTCAAGGCTAGCACTCTACCACTTGAGCCACAGCACCACTTCAGGCTTTTTCTGCTTTTTCCTCTGCTGAGGAATCAAACCCAGGGCTTCATACATACGAAGCAAGCACTCTACCACTGAGCCACCTTTCCAGCCCCCTGTAGTTACATTTGAAGGGGCAGGTACAAATGACTTCATTTGAAAGTCCCCTTCTCCTTTATACAGTCTTCCTTTATTCTTAATACCCCAGCCCTTGGGAAGATACTTTTAGACAATACAAATACCTTTTCTTGAGGGGAGGGTTTGAACTCAGGGCTTGGCACCCTTGCTTGGCTTTTTTCTGAGGGTTGGTTCTCTACCACTTGAGCCTACTTTCTGTCGGTTTTTGCTGGTTAATTGGAGATAGTCTCATGATCTGAAAGCCTCAGATCTCAGCCTTCTGAGTAGTTAGGATTACAGGCGTGGACCACCTGTAATCTGTATTGGCTCAGATAACCTATTCCCCATAAATCTAGCATAATTTTTGTATGATCAAAACCTTCCAGGTATCCAGAGCTTCCTGTTTGTCACCCATCTTTCTCCCACATCCTGCCTGTTTCCTGCCCCCCAGACCTATTTCACATTTGCTACTTCCTTTATCACATAGGTTCCTTGAATATTCTTGCTGTATTTGTCTCCTGCTCCCTTTTTCATTCATAAACCTCCTTCCCACTTATCCCCCCCCCCGCCTTCCCATCTTGATTCAGTTTCCTAATATTCATTCAGTTAAACTGTTTAAAAGATTTATACTATGGAGATCCATTCACATTTAATTATAACCCCTGTACAACACTTTGAAATTCAGATAAAATAGAATTGCAGTTGAAAGAAAACCTTTTCTTGATGATTGCAAAATGATGACTTTCTAATTCATGTCTGTATACAGAGATGAGCTCTGGCATTGCCCTGTAATAAGAGAACTTCCCGTCTTTTTTCTTGTCTATTTACTGTCAGTATAGACTGCAGTTTATAGTTAGTAAGCTGTTTTGGGAGCCTTTTCAGGCTGCTTTGCCTCCTCTGTTCTTGTAGCATCATCTGGTTCTGTTCTTTTTAGTAGAGCAAGAGACCACAGGCTCATCCTTTGTCTAATGTGCCCCCTTGTGGGATTGGTCATTTCCATGGAGCTCTTTAGGGGAGTATGGTATTAGAACCCGTGATCTGAGTCTTTATTTCTTGACCTTGTAGTGGTTGGACTTAGAAAATATATGCCTAAAGTAACTGTGTGTGTGCATACATATTAGAGATTTTCTTCCAGTTTTATAAAATAGACTTTAAATAGCTTAAAAGGGCAGAGTTTGAATCATGTTACATGAGAATCTTGTCAAGATTCTTCATGGTTGAAGTTTATATTGATGAAGAAATGTTACCTATGTACCTATGTATTGTTGCTTCTGTGTTATAAAATCTTGGGAATCTTTGGAGGGCATCTGAGCTAGCCTCCCTCAACTACTGTATCTTGTACAACACAGAGGTTGAACATATCTGGAGAGAAGTTCAGTATCTTAATTAAGGAAAGCTCTTGTGAGTATAAGCAATATGGAAATTAGTGTGAAGGTTCCTTAAAGAAACTGTCGTACCATTCTTGGGCCTATACCCAGTCAATACACAGCAAAGAGACCTGCATGTCATGTTTATTACTGCTTTCTTCACAGCAGCCAAATGATGGAGTCAGCTGTGTGATTAAAAACTAACAAATGGATAAAGAAAATAATGGTACATGTGTACCAATGGAATATTCAGCTATAAAGAAAAATGAAATTATCACTTGTAGGAAAGTATATGGAACTCTGGGGATCATGCTGAGTGAGCTCATTTGCAGACTTGGAAGACACACACTTGGCATATGTATTTTTAACAGAACTTGATTATAACTGTGGGACTATCTGATGAGGGGACAAGGTGGGGCGAGGAAGAGGGAAAGAGTAATGGAGGGTAAATACATTGTACAGAGGGGTTACAATTACATGGGCAAGGTAATGAGACATGTCTTATCAAGCATTGTTTTCCTCCTCATTTGTTTTCCCCCTACCATCACTTCTATCTTCTCCCCACCCCCCAGCCTTGCTGTTTAACAATAGGGGGCGGCAGATATAGAAAACAGTAATCAACTTACCCTGTATATATTTTAGTCAGAAGGAGTAGTATGAGCTGTAGGTGAGAGTGGTGAAGTACTTTATATGCATGTGTGAAGATAAAACAGAAATCTATTCAGGTTATTTTAATGGGGAGGGAGGATGGAGAGTGAGGGAGTTTGATTGGAGTACATTGTATGCACGTATGGAAATGAAATAATGAACTTTTCCAGGTACAACTAATGCATTGCTAATAAAACTCTTAAGAAAGTTCTTGTGGAAAGTGTGTCATCTTCAAGAAGGCTTGTCTACTTCTTAGTGAACAATTATTTCCAGTTATTACATAGATTCTAACATGAACCAGCTTTCTTTGACAGTGAATTATAATTTCTTGAAGTAAACCATTTTCTTGGTCTTCTGTGAAACATACCAGTTAACCAGATACACCGCTGGCATCTTTTTGCAGTTTTGTTTGGCTATGCTACCACAGTCATCCCCCGGGTGTATACATACTATGTTTCAACTGCATTATTTGCCATTTTTGGCATTCGAATGCTACGGGAAGGCTTAAAGATGAGTCCAGATGAGGGCCAAGAGGAACTGGAAGAAGTTCAAGCAGAGTTAAAGAAGAAAGATGAAGAAGTAAGTCTGTTGAATATCTGGGCCCAAAACAGACATAATGAGGAGTAAAAACTACCTAAAGATTTTTCAATGACCATATCGTATGATATATGAAGGCTGTACAAGAGGAGCTAATTTTCATGTGTTTGTGTGCGCGTGCACATACACTTGCCAGTATTGAGGCTTGAACCTCAGAGCCTTCATTCAAGGCTAGTGATATACCACTTGAGCCAGGGCTCCACCTAAGTAGCTGGGATTACAGGTATGAGCCATCAGTGCCCAGCAGAGTCTGTTCCTGTAATCTGGTTGTGATAGACTTAGGTCAGTGTGAATGTGGTAAAGGAAGCAGAAGGAAAACACTAGACGTGGCAGTTGGCTTCCTTATGTTGATTATAAGCTCCTGAAAAGCAGGGGCCATGTTAAAATTTATAAGTCGCTTCCATAGCATATAGAGTAGTAAATAAATCACTAGAAGTAGTTTTGTTTGGAATGAAGAAACTTGGGGGCAACATTTTTTTGGAGCATATTCCAAGGTATTTAAACACTTTAAAATAAGTGCTTTTATGTCACTTTGATTTCCTTGCTGGCATTAATGTCAATTTTCATTTGTTTTAGTTTCAACGAACCAAACTTTTGAATGGACCAGCAGATGTTGAAACGGGTACAAGCACAACGATACCTCAGAAAAAGTGGTTGCATTTCATTTCACCCATTTTTGTTCAGGCTCTTACACTAACATTCTTAGCGGAATGGGGAGACCGCTCTCAACTCACTACAATTGTTTTGGCAGCTAGAGAGGTGAGTGTTTGAGAGAAGACTGCTTTTGTATTACCTTGCTTGGATGGCCATCACTCATCTTGCCAACCTCTCAAATTAGCTCCCACTTTGCAGTTCGTGTGTCCAGAGTGAGTCGGTCTGTTTTTTGTTTCCCCAGTACTGCTTAAACTTAGCACCTGGGTATTGTCCATTAGGTTTCTCACTCAAGGCTGATACTCTGCCTCTTCAGCCATAGTTCCACTTCTGACTTACGACTTTTTGATGTTTAATTGGAGAAAAGCATCTCATAGGGGCTGGGATGTAGCTCACTGGAAAAGTGCTTGTCTAGCAAGTGCATCTTCCTGGGTTGGATCCCCAGAACCAAAAGAGAAAAAAAAAAAAAAGGAGTATCTCATGGGTTTTCCTGAGTTGGCTTCAAACCTTTATTCTCAGATTTTAGCCTCTTGAGTAGGTAGGATTAAAGGTATGAGCCACTGGTACCCTGCTTTTAAATTTTTGATCCCCTCTTGCTAAGTTCTTTTCTTTTCTTTTTTCTGCTTCACGCTGTATGCTTGTTAGGAATATCAATTGTTAGCTGAGGGTATGGTGGTGGTACATGCCTGTAATCATAGCTCTCAGGAAGTGAAGATATGAGGATGCTAAGTTTGAGGTCAGCTTGGGATACCCTCTCTCAAACAAACAAAAAGAGAATGTATTGGTATGATACTATTAAAGGACGGCTTGACAATTTAGTGTTTATTCCTATACTAAAGAGATAATTGAGTTGCTGTAGTTGAGTAGAAATTGTGTAGCTCTTTGAATGCTAACTCTTCAGCAGCATCTTAATGACATAGAGAATTTTTTTTTTTGGGTCCAGTTGTGGGGCCTGAACTCTGGGCCTGGGCACTGTCCCTCAGCTCTTCAGCTCAAGGCTAGCACTTTACCACTTGAGCCATGGCGCCACTTCTGGCTTTTTTATTTTTTCTGCTTATGTGGTGCTGAGGAATCAATCAAACCCAGGGCCTCATGCATGCAAGGCAAGTGCTGCTATCACTGAGCTACCTTCGCAGCCCAGACATGGAGAAATTTTAAAAGGTGGCTTACTTTTAAGATATAAAGACTGTATAAAACTTAAGCAGTTCCAATTATATAGGAGACATAGGAGGAAGGCTGAAGTCTGAGACCTATCCAGACAGAATTGTGCATCTACATGAAAATAGCTGAAACAAAACCAAAAAATAACACGGATGGGGGCATGGCTCAAGTGGTAGAGCACTTGCTAACATGACCCTGAATTCAATCCCTATTGCTCACAAAAGGACAAGTATTTTATTTACAAACCTTCATTGTTTTTGAGAGGAATAATAACTATCTTAATGTAAGTTGTCGGTTACTATTGACACAGGCTTATCAAGATGTATGAGAGGATTACTTAACCAGTCATGGTCTTACCTAGTTTTATATCAAGTGGTACTATTTCAGATTAAAAGTAGGATTTATGTGGAAATGGCTACAGAACAACATACTTACATAGACTGCAGTTAAAGCATTTGAGGCCAGGACTTAGATAATTTGGAATGGTCTTTTTCATTCTATTCCTGTAAAACACATTTTGGTTTAGAATGTCTTCTAATGGCTATGACCTGTCTGTCGGCTTCTGTTGCTTCTCACATTGTCAGAATTTGGACTTGGAGGTGACCAGGAGGTTGTGAGTGCTTGCAGCTGGGTGAGCTCAGGTGCGCCGCATGTAGCCCACTCTCTTATGTGGCCGTTAGCACTTCGCTGTGCCTTCTGTATTTTCTCATGTGAAAGTTGAGATGACTGCATGGATTCTGGTGGTCCCTGACACAGCATTCTGCCATCCTTCCCCACTACTGGGCACCACAGTGGTTGTTAAAGAGCTCCCACAGATCAGAAATAGCATCCACTAAGAAATGTTTGCTTTTTCCTCTGTATGAGCCAGCCATGCATTGCCCTTTGTCTCAGCTTTATCTCTGCTTCCAACACAGTGTTCCCAGACTGGATTTCTCTGAGTCCTAGTTATTTTGAGTACAAGGCAAAAAAGGGGGCATAGAAAACACCTACATAATACAACCTTAAAAAAGTCAATGTACAATGTATATACAATATACAAACTGAAAAACATTAGAGGAACTGTCTTATTCAATTTAATGTATTTCAAGTATCATTTTCAAATAGAAGGATGTCACTTTCTGGAGTAGCATTTTGACTTTCTCGCATACGATAGATTTGGGGCAGTGTAGTTGTACTATTCCCATACTTCTCCCAGCTGCCAGTAGATGCTTGAAGCCATTTTCACTTTGTGCACATACACTGCCTACCCCTCACACAGCCTGACTGCACAAGGAAGCACAAGGCCTTTCCAACTCCCTGCTGTATTCCACATATCCCATCCTGTAGCTGAGATCTTTGCCTTCTCCCAGCCCAACTTTGTGAGTGCTGTACCGGGCACCCATCTCCATTTTTACTGAGAGCTTTCCTCAGTTCAGCTCTCCAGTGCTACTCTTCCTTGCTTCTCGGTCTCAGAGGGCTAGGCTGAGGATAGTAGGACTAGGCTCAACACTCTTACTTCCAGAGATGTTGGCTGGTGCTTCACATGAACTGATTACAGCCAGTGATGAAATCTGCTGTGGTTCTTACAGGCCAATAGCTTGGCCACCTCTTGAGTCTCCTTTGGATAATTCTTCCTGTCATCCCTTGAATGTTGCTTTCCTTGTGGTTGTATTTTCCATATCCTTTTTCTATTCTCAGTGTTTTGTACTGAGGTCTCTTAGCTTATTGGCCATCTGGTTCCACTGACACCTGAGCTTTACCTTCACTTGCTGTCAGTACTCATAACCCTCCTTTTGTTTTAATCATAACAATCTTACCATTGCCCATGCAAAGAATTAGAGAAACTCGTGTTTCATGCCTGATTTTCTTCATTGGTCACCATTATGTGTCAAACTCATCTGCTTTCCTTTGCCTGTAATTTGTTACTCCAGTCCAGGCTAGCATTTTTTTTGGACCAGGGCTGCCACTCTGCCTCTATCTTACTCCTTCCTATTCCACTGACTTTTTTTTTTTTTTTTTTTTTTGCAGAGGTGAAGGGAAGGGGGGAGGGGGTCAGTCATGGGGCTTGAACTTTGGGCCTGGGCACTGTCCCTGAGCTCTTCAGCTCAAGTTGAGTGCTCTGCTACTTGAGCCACAGTGCCACTTGTGGTTTTCTGGTGGTTAATTGGAGATGTCTCGTGGACTTTTCCTGCCTAGGCTGGCTTTGATCCTAGAATCTCAGCTTCCTGAGTAGCTAGGTGGCGTGAGCCACTGGCGCCTGGCTCCACTGGACTTTTAAAGCATAAATGTCTTCTACCATTCCCATGTGAAAAAATAGCCAAGTGTCTTAAGACAAAGCTGAACTCCCAAGTTTATAGTTTGTTTCATGACCTGGCGCCCATCTTTTCCCTCCCAGAGCAGGGATAGAACTCTGGTACTATCACAGGCAAGTGTTTTGCTCCTGCACTCCACTCCACCACCTCCCAGCCCCTTGCTCCTATCTGATAGCTGCCTCTTGTGCCTCACTAGTTATCTAGAAATGCTATTGTTCCCTAGGCTCTTACTGCTGGTCTGTTGCTTTCTCCTTAGAATGTTCCATACCCCACACAAATAACCTCTGTCTCTTCTGGGCTATCTTCTGTAAAATCTTCAGATTCCCCCCCCCCCCAAATTGAACTACCTTTTTGCATGGCAGCATGTGTTTATGGGATGAATTTGTTTCCAACTAAACTAAAGCATTTAAGGTGCAAAACTTCTGCTCTTAGGGAAGTTGGTCATACTATACCATAAAGGAGGTTTAGTCTGACAGTGTATCACTGGCATATATTCCTTCAGGTAGTTATTAACACCTTTTTTTGCAAAGCTACAATACTCCTAGCATTTTGAGAATTACTTAGGCTTTTTGTTGCTTCATCTGTGGTTTCCTTTGATTAGTTTCCTCTTGGATTTCAAGCTAGTAAAGCTACTTACCTTTGCTTCCAGGACCCCTATGGCGTAGCAGTTGGGGGAACAGTAGGACATTGTTTGTGTACGGGTTTGGCAGTAATTGGAGGAAGAATGATAGCACAAAAAATCTCCGTCAGAACTGGTAAGGGTTTTTTGGTTAATTAAAAAGCAGTCTTTTGCTCTAACTTTCTAAAGTCACTGGGAGATTAGAAGTAGGATGTTAGTTTAAATTCTTTTAAAGTATACTGTCTAGTCTTTGAAATTACCACCTTAAGTTCCTGCGCATTATCCATTACTGCAGACTGCTGTTCTCATGGTAGCTGTTTTAATTTGTGGCCATGGATGGGGAAGTGTTGAACTCAGGACTTCATGCTTGCTCAGCTGGCATTTTACTTCTCAAGCCAGGCCCAGGTTTTTGCTGATTATTTTAGGGAGTCTTGTGAACTTGACTGCCTACACTGACGTTGAACCATAATCCTTTGTATCTCAGCTTCCTGGTACCTAAAATTACAATTGTGAGACCTAGGTGTCAGACTTATTAGTACATTTATTTATTTATTTGGGTCCGGTCGTGGGGCCTGAACTCTGGGCCTGGGCACTGTCCCTCATCTCTTCAGCTCAAGGCTAG